CACACACTACATTTCAAGACGCGTCCGTCACTCCCGCCGGTGCTGCGGCTGTGCAGCATGTTCAAGTAATGTCCCCACCAGACGAAAGTACAGCGGTGCCGTTACCTGTTGATTGCCAGACTATTGTGGGCGACGGGGCGTTTGCTGGTTCTCCGTTTTTCGTGCGATACTACGTTGATGATGGCGTGTTGATTGAAGGGAGATTTTTCGCTGATGGCCGCCGATGTTTGCGCGCGGTGCGTTCTCTCGCTACGGATCACTTTCGTCTGCTGGGAGAGAGAGGCCCAGCAGACCCGCCGTTGTTGTCGCAAGGAAAGATCACAGATTTCGCTACTCGTTTGGATGTGTTNCATTGTGAGCGACGGGGCGTTTGCTGGTTCTCCATTTTTCGTGCGATACTACGTTGATGATGGCGTGTTGATTGAAGGGAGATTTTTCGCTGATGGCCGCCGATGTTTGCGCGCGGTGCGTTCTCTCGCTACGGATCACTTTCGTCTGCTGGGAGAGAGAGGCCCAGCAGACCCGCCGTTGTTGTCGCAAGGAAAGATCACAGATTTCGCTACTCGTTTGGATGTGTTGGGTTGGAGATTGGACACTCACCAACTCACGATTACTATGACCGACACGAAACAGCAGAAACTGGGACGCATATTGGCTGCGTGGCCCGCGACGCGGAAAGTCGCTACAGCTCGTCAAGTAGCCGAGTTGACAGGGTTTCTTATGCACGTTTCGTTCGTGTTGCGGCCAGGAAAGTTCTTTGTGGGGCGCCTTTTATCCGCGGTCGGGATGCCCGCTTCGTCTACTTTCGCGTCCCAAGTGCCAAACCCGAACAGACGTGTAGTGCTGGGTCCATTATTCCACGATGACCTCGAATTTTGNTTGCACGTTTCGTTCGTGTTGCGGCCAGAAAAGTTTTTGTGGGGAGCCTTTTATCCGCGGTCGGGATGCCTGCTTCGTCTACTTTCGCGTCCCAANTGATCACTTTCGTCTGCTGGGAGAGAGAGAGGCCCAGCAGACCCGCCGTTGTTGTCGCAAGGAAAGATCACAGATTTCGCTACTCGTTTGGATGTGTTGGGTTGGACATTGGACACTCAGCAACTCACGATTACTATGACCGACACGAAACAGCAGAAACTGGGACGCATATTGGCTGCGTGGCCCGCGACGCGGAAAGTCGCTACAGCTCGTCAAGTAGCCGAGTTGACAGGGTTTCTTATGCACGTTTCGTTCGTGTTGCGGCCAGGAAAGTTCTTTGTGGGGCGCCTTTTATCCGCGGTCGGGATGCCCGCTTCGTCTACTTTCGCGTCCCAAGTGCCAAACCCGAACAGACGTGTAGTGCTGGGTCCATTATTCCACGATGACCTCGAATTTTGGCGGTGGTTCCACAGGCGTGGTCTCTCGTTGCGCGGCGGAAGTTTGTGTGCACCCATGTACAATATTTTGGAACGCCCGCCTGCACTATCCGTGTTCACCGATGCGTCTAAGCAAGCTGTCTGTGGAAGAGCAAGCTTGCTTTGTGGGGTCGAGCAAATCGGTCCAGGGGGTTCATGATGTCAGCATCAACGTGTTAGAGCTCCTTGGCATGGTCATGGGGGCATGGATGTTGGTATTGGGCCGAAGTCACCAGCCTGTGGAGGCGGGTGATTGTGTGCGCCTTCGAGGAGACAATGAAGCAGCGACGGCGTGGATTGAGCGTTGTCGGGGGGGCCTTGAGCCTCGATCGGGGGCGCTGGTGCGCCTACTGGGGGCGCTGGAGGTAGCCAGCGGGTGGCATTTCCACGCGACCNACATGGTCATGGGGGCATGGGCGTTGGTATTGGGCCGACGTCACCAGCCTGTGGAGGCGGGTGATTGTGTGCGCCTTCGAGGAGACAATGAAGCAGCGACGGCGTGGATTGAGCGTTGTCGGGGGGGCCTTGAGCCTCGATCGGGGGCGCTGGTGCGCCTACTGGGGGCGCTGGAGGTAGCCAGCGGGTGGC